CAGCCGGGCTCGCCCTGCCCCAGGACGCAGCTGGGCGGCGGGCCTGGACCCCCGGAGAAGGGGACTTCTGTGCTGACGCTAGAGTTGGCGAGCAGGGAGGGCCGGGGCCGGTGCGCCCGCGAGCGGGAAGCCTGTGGGCCCGAAGAGGGGGTGCCCGCCCCCGTTAGCCTGGGCAGCTGTGGTCCTCTGGTGTCTGTGGGCGGCCGCGCGGCAGTGGCTAGCTGGGAGCGTGGGCTGGGCCGGCCGGCCTGGCTCTCATCCAGGCTCAGTACTTAGCCGTGGGGTGAGCACTCGTGCCTCAGTTTCCCCAGCTAGAAAATGCTCGCATCACCTCTGGGAATCGGGTGGAAGCGACATGCGGAGCGGGGCCAGGCCCCAGGCGTCCCGTGTGGCTAGTGCCAGCTGGGCTCAGTGCCCGGGGCAGCAGGGGCAGGCCACACGGCCGGCCGCTTGGGGCCTCCTGGCGGGGTCAGCCGTCCCTGCGGCGGGCAGTGCACACAGGCAGGTCCAGATCAGCCCTGCAGAGGGCACCGGGTGTGCTCACTCGGCCAGCGCCTGGGGAGTTGCCTCGCCCCGTCCCGTGCGTCTTGGCGGCTCCCTGGGGGTCCCAGGCTCACCACCAGTGGGGTCCTGGGCTCCCGTTGGCAGTGGGGGGCCCCGGGAAGAGCGTGCATGCAATCCCAGGTGCCGGCCACCCTGGCGCTGACACACAACTTTGCAGAAGCTGGGCAAGCCGAGCCGCCCGCTGCCCTCAGGCTCAGGAGCTGCGGGGGGCTGTGCAGGTTTTGGGGGGGGGGCTGCTGCGGGCGGGAGACGGCGGACGGTGCTGCTCCCCGGCGCAGGATTTATCGCCGCCCTGGGCTGTCGCCGGGTGAGGGAGCGAGGCCTACTTTAATAAATCCACAATTTGTATTTAATAGCGACGGTGGCAGTGTGAGCGCGGTCCGGGTCGAGCCGGCGATTTACGCAGTTACCCCGGGGCCGCCGGCACCAGGGGTCTCTCGGGCAGGCTCTGGGCGTGGCCTCCGGGCCTGAAGACCGAAGCCCCTGGGCGGCGCGCTGTGGCCCGAGGGCCTCGAGGGGCAGTCCTTCCCCCGGGGCGGCAGGCGGCCTGTGGCCAGCGCGAGGCTCGGCCCGGGGTCGCCTCGGATGTGCCGGGGGGCTGCAGTGGTGGAGACCCCGCCCCGGCTTTAAGACCCCCGAGTGTGGCAGGCGTGCCCAGCCCTGCAGGGCCAGGGGAGCCCTGGTGTCCTGCCCAGCCGGCCAGGCTGACCAGGCCGAGACTCCCTCTAGCCGGGGAGTCCGAGGCTGCGGAGGGACCCGCGGCCCCTGCCTGTCCATGCTGAGGGGTGTGCGGGAGGCTGGGCTGAGCCGCGCGGGCCTGCGGCTGGGGCGAGGGGGCTGCGCTGGGGCAGTCGGCGGCTCCAGGTGCGTCCCTCCCCCGGCCTCCAGGTGCCCGGCTGCTTCTGTTTTCTGGAATATTCCATTCTCCCTCCTGTGGCTTGCCTGCACCCCACCCCCTCAGCTCCAGGTGGCCAACGCCTCCTGTCCACGTTCCTGCTTCAGCCTGTGGCGTGACCGTCTCCCGGCGGGCCTCTCCCCGCCAGCAGGACGGGGCTGGCCCCTCGGGCCACGCGGCAGGGAGCGGGAAGGGGCAAGAAGCGGGACACAGCCAGGAGGACCCTGGGGCGGCGGCCCTGGGCGGGAGGGGCGCTGTGAGCCGAGCAGGAGATGGCAGGACCGGCCAGCGGGGGCAGCGGGCGGGTGGTGCCACGGAAGGGTGCTGGGCCACCCTGTGACCGGCCAGCGCAGCCCTTCGCTGGCCTCAGTTTCCCCACTTGTGGAATGAGAGGAAGCGACGACCCCCGAGACGCGGGGCGGTGGGGGAGGGGCCGGGGGTCACCCCGGCCTCAGGCCCCGCCTCCCGGAAATAGGGGCCTGGCGCGCACAGCCTCTGCCCGGTGGACAGAGA